CCCCCCCGCCCCTTGCTGATGATTGGCGAGGCAAAAACTGCATAATTACAGAAATAACCATATTATTATAAAGCTATGTATTAAATCTAAATCTTTGTCTTCCAGTAAGCTTTTGCAGGGTCGATTTTGTGGGAAGTCGTGGCCAAAACCATTTTTCACTGGTTTTTGCGAAAACCATAAAACCACGACTCAAGCAGGTCCCTACCCAATGCCCATGGTGAGGCTGGGGCTGCCCAGGGATCAGAAAGGCAGTGGGAACCTTCTGGGGATGGGCGAGAGCCACAAGGAGAAGCCCTGGGTCCCAGGCTGGGGAGGATGGCTGGCGCTGAATGGCTCAAGCTGGGGAATCCCAGGCAAAGCCCCACAGCTCGTTAATACAGGGCACAAAGGGGAAGGTGGCTGCAGGCAGCTGGTGTGGGAGACTGGAGCCTTCCTATCAGTCGCTCTCCTTCCCCAGGCCTGCTGGGGAGCCATGGCCCCCTCCTCTCCCAGGACAGAGCTTCTCCAGCTCCACTCAGGTCCAGGCCACAGGACCCCCACTTGGGCTCCAGGGGCCTTGTGAGGCCATGCAGAGGCAGGCAGCACCAAGTGAGGGGGATGCCACAGAAACTCACTCCTGGGTAACCATATGGGTCCCCCGTGCTGCCAAGCAGCGATGAGCAAGAGCGCCCAGTCCCCCACTGCAGCCTCCCCGGCCCTGCTGGCATCCTCCTGCTACAGGGATCAGGGGGATTTCGACTTGCTGCTTGGTTATTACTGTGCAGAGAAGGCCCGGCTGAGAGCAGTGCTCCATCGTGCCACGCTCTGGATGTGCATACAGAAGACAGCCCTGAGGCTGAAGGGCTGAAAAGTGAGGCCAGGGGCAGGAGGGAGGCTTGAGGCATAGAGGGGAAGTGGCTTAGCCAGGGTCCCCAGGAGGGCAGGGCAGAGCTGGGAATACCCGTCCTGTCTCCAGCTCACCCCAGGGAGTGCAGGGTTGGTCTCAGCTGGGCACAAGCCCCCTCCCCAGCACTGGCAGCTCAACAGCCTCTTCTCCCCATCACCCTGGGACCTCTCTGTGCCCAGGGTTAGCTCGGCCAATGCTGCAGCTCCCCAGGGAAGCATGGGCTCACCTTGGAGTAGAAGTCCCGGAGCACGGGCTTTGTGTAGGCCTCGGCCTGGGGTGGGGGCGGTAGCTGGTATTTGGGCTGGATGACCCGCAGAGCTGCCAGCACCATGTCCTGCCCATCATCCTCATAGGTGACATGCTGGAATAGGTCATTCAGGTGGAAGCCATCCTTCTCCAGCTGCTTCATGCACCTGGGGTTGGGTATAGGTTTGTGTGG